GGCCATTTTGGTCCAAGTGCGCGATTTAGTGGTTTTCACACACGTTGTTTGGAGAGTGATGCTCCGTCGCCCTTTTCACCAATCGCCTTCGAGCTTCTGCTATATACTCTTAAGACATAGAGGAAAAAATTCAACCGTCGGATTTTAAATAAGTATAAAGGTGTGGGCGTGGCTAAGCCTCAAACTTTGACCTTTCGCCACGCCACTCTTTTTTTCACAGCTCCCTATTGGACTCCTTTTACCCAATCACCTGGAATCTCTGGTAAATAGCAGCTGACAAGTTGAGGTCACTTGGTCTACAGTACTGGCAGGTTTTGAAAAAAGGCGGGGCTTTGGGAGCATGGCGAAATTCGCCATCACGCCATGGCAATACGTTTGCCTCTCATTTCTTCAATTATCGTGACATCGCCACAAAATGTCTGGTGAGTGATCCTAGTCTGACCCCCAATAGAAATGGGCATCTGAGATTTGTGGGCGTGGCCTATATTCTGAAATAGCGCCCCCTAGGACCATTAAAACTGTCAGCCCCAAGACAAGGTTTGACTGAGGATTACGAAAATTGGTACACTCATGTAGGGTCTCTGGCCCTACAAAAAAGTCTCTTGGAGCCAAGCGCAATTTCGCACAGGAGGTCGGCCATTTTGGTCCAAGTACTCGATTTAGTGGTTTTCGCACACGTTGTTTGGACATTGATGGGCTGTTGCCCTTTACACCGATCACCTTCAAACTTATACTATGTACTTTTAAGTCAAAGGGGAAAAAATTCAACCGTCGGATTTTAAATAAGTATAAAGGTGTGGGCGTGGCTAAGCCTCAAACTTTGACCTTTCGCCATGACATTACTTGACTTAATAACTCCCATGTGCATGATCAGATCTAATTCAAACTTTGTCTGTGTGATCACTGACCACATCTCAAGACAACGACAATGTGGACAGCTGACATCACCTAAGCCCCGCCCCCTGACAACAGGAAGTCTATTGTTTTATGGTGAAATGCCCATATTTGTCCCCTCTAATTTAATGAAAATGACACTCAGGTCATACAGTGTCTTCATGATGTTTTAAAGACCATTCAGATCTGATAGCTTTCCAGAAAGGGAGGGGCTTTGATGCCATGGCGAATGCTGGCGTGACGCCATGACCTTACATTTGACTGTAACTTCCACAAACGGCCTCCGATTTGCCCGAAACTGAATATGGCAATGAACAATCATGCCCTTTAGCCAATGAGGCACAAACGGTTGGTGAATGTTATATAATGTCACCAAAGCTGACCTCAATGGGACTTTTCTGTAGTTGGTCACAGCGCCACCTAGATAACGTTATCCTTCGATAACTTTAAAAAACATGGTCAGAATAGCATTAAAGTTGGTCACTGTCATCACACCACCAGTGTGGTAAAGATAGAGGATTCCCTAGTGGTGAGACATAAAATATAATGGTGGGCTCAAAGGGGATGCTGAGTCAGGGTGAGTTGCGGACAAGGTGGCCGTTAGCAGTTTCTGGTGTTGGGGTGGTCGACGTTTGTGTTCTGCGGACGTGCCCTGGTGCCCCGGGCTGCCGGCCAGGCCGGAGCGGCGCGGAGCTGCGAGGGCCGAACGACGCTGCTTGCAGCTTTAATTATTTTTTATTATTCTTAGCCCGCTTTGAACGGCTTTTTGGGGACCTTAACATACCCCAAAACTCACAATATTTTGCAAACTTGTCAGGCCTGGTGAAAAATTTGATATTTTAAAGGTCCCAAAAAAATCACAAAGAAAATGGCTGAACAGCGCCCCCTAGAAAGTGAAAAAAACCCCTCTCCATAAAGCTTAGTTTATCGTACAGTTATGAAATTTGGTACACTTGTAGTACTCAACAGTCCGCACAGAAAAGTCTCTTGCAACCATGGTCAATATCAAACAGGAAGTCGGCCATTTTGGGTTGAAATGGCGATTTTTTGCAGTTTTTGCCGTTTTTAGGGTCCGTTCCTGATTGGATTGCTCGATCATTTTTCGCACGATCGTCTCAAAAATTGTGTAAAATTGCTAAGAAGGGATGGGCGAACAAAATGAGATGAGAATTCTGAGTTTTCGTATATGTTGAAGGGGCGGGGCCAGGCCTCGAAGTTTGACTACTCGCCAAAAATATTTAAATTGCTATAACTTCATAACTGAATGGAATAGAGTTACCAAACTTTCTGTGGTCATTCGTCATCCACCCACAAAGTAAATTGAATGGTCGGATGATGACATCACACAAGCCCCGCCCCCTCAGGACCAAAAATATCAAGTTTTACTGTGAAAGGTCCCAAATTGCCCCATTTCACTTAATCACCACAAATTTGTAGCTGGTAACTCAAGACAAGTGGGGGTTGCTTGGCGTCACTTTATGGGAGTTTTCGGCAGAGGGCGGGGCTGTGGCGGCACGGCGAATTCAGGCGTACCGCCGTGGCCTTACGTTTGCCTCCCATTTCGTCATTTCCAAAGATATCGTCACGAAACTTCTTGTGAGTGATCCTAGTCCGGCCCCCCAAAAGATCTGATGTGAACATCTGGTGGGCGTGGCCTATTTTCTGAAATAGCGCCCCCTAGGACCATTAAAACTGTCAGCCCCAAGCCATGCTTTGACTGAGGATTACGAAATTTGGTACACTAATGTGGTGTCTCAGGACCTACAAAAAAGTCTCTTGGAGCCAAGTGCAAAGTCGCACAGGAAGTCGGCCATTTTGGTCCAAGTGCGCGATTTAGTGGTTTTCACAGACTTTGTTTGGAGAGTGATACTCCGTCGCCCTTTTCACCAATCACTTTCAAACTTCTGCTATATAGTCTTAAGACATAGAGGAAAAAATTCAACCGTCGGATTTTAAATAAGTATAAAGGTGTGGGCGTGGCTAAGCCTCAAACTTTGACCTTTCGCCACGCCACTCTTTTTTTCACAGCTCCTTATTGGACTCCTTTTACCCAATCACCAGGAATCTCTGGTAAATAGCAGCAGGCAAGTTGAGGTCACTTGGTCTCCAGTACTGGAAGGTTTTGAAAAAAGGCGGGGCTTTGGGAGCATGGCGAAATTCGCCATCACGCCATGGAAATACGTTTGCCTCTCATTTCTTCATTTATCGTGATATCACCTCGACCATTGTTGTGAGTGATCCTAGTCTGACCCCCAATAGAAAAGGTCAGCTTAAGTTTGTGGGCGTGGCCTATTTTCTGTATTAGCGCCCCCTAGGACCATTAAAACTGTCAGCCCCAAGCCATGCTTTGACTGAGGATTACGAAATTTGGTACACTAATGTGGTGTCTCAGGACCTACAAAAAAGTCTCTTGGAGCCAAGTGCAAAGTCGCACAGGAAGTCGGCCATTTTGGTCCAAGTACTCGATTTAGTGGTTTTCACACACGTTGTTTGGAGAGTGATGCTCCGTCGCCCTTTTCACCAATCGCCTTCGAGCTTCTGCTATATACTCTTAAGACATAGAGGAAAAAATTCAACCGTCGGATTTTAAATAAGTATAAAGGTGTGGGCGTGGCTAAGCCTCAAACTTTGACCTTTCGCCACGCCACTCTTTTTTTCACAGCTCCCTATTGGACTCCTTTTACCCAATCACCTGGAATCTCTGGTAAATAGCAGCTGACAAGTTGAGGTCACTTGGTCTACAGTACTGGCAGGTTTTGAAAAAAGGCGGGGCTTTGGGAGCATGGCGAAATTCGCCATCACGCCATGGCAATACGTTTGCCTCTCATTTCTTCAATTATCGTGACATCGCCACAAAATGTCTGGTGAGTGATCCTAGTCTGACCCCCAATAGAAATGGGCATCTGAGATTTGTGGGCGTGGCCTATATTCTGAAATAGCGCCCCCTAGGACCATTAAAACTGTCAGCCCCAAGACAAGGTTTGACTGAGGATTACGAAAATTGGTACACTCATGTAGGGTCTCTGGCCCTACAAAAAAGTCTCTTGGAGCCAAGCGCAATTTCGCACAGGAGGTCGGCCATTTTGGTCCAAGTACTCGATTTAGTGGTTTTCGCACACGTTGTTTGGACATTGATGGCCCGTTGCCCTTTACACCGATCACCTTCAAACTTATGCTATGTACTTTTAAGTCAAAGGGGAAAAAATTCAACCGTCGGATTTTAAATAAGTATAAAGGTGTGGGCGTGGCTAAGCCTCAAACTTTGACCTTTCGCCATGACATTACTTGACTTAATAACTCCCATGTGGATGATCAGATCTAATTCAAACTTTGTCTGTGTGATCACTGACCACATCTCAAGACAAAGACAATGTGGACAGCTGACATCACCTAAGCCCCGCCCCCTGACAACAGGAAGTCTATTGTTTTATGGTGAAATGCCCATATTTGTCCCCTCTAATTTAGTGAAAAAGACACTCAGGTCATACAGTGTCTTCATGATGTTTTAAAGACCATTCAGATCTGATAGCTTTCCAGAAAGGGAGGGGCTTTGATGCCATGGTGAATGCTGGCGTGACGCCATGACCTTACATTTGACTGTAACTTCCACAAACGGCCTCCGATTTGCCCGAAACTGAATATGGCAATGAACAATCATGCCCTTTAGCCAATGAGGCACAAACGGTTGGTGAATGTTATATAATGTCACCAAAGCTGACCTCAATGGGACTTTTCTGTAGTTGGTCACAGCGCCACCTAGATAACGTTATCCTTCGATAACTTTAAAAAACATGGTCAGAATAGCATTAAAGTTGGTCACTGTCATCACACCACCAGTGTGGTAAAGATAGAGGATTCCCTAGTGGTGAGACATAAAATATAATGGTGGGCTCAAAGGGGATGCTGAGTCAGGGTGAGTTGCGGACAAGGTGGCCGTTAGCAGTTTCTGGTGTTGGAGTGGTCGACGTTTGTGTTCTGCGGACGTGCCCTGGTGCCCCGGGCTGCCGGCCAGGCCGGAGCGGCGCGGAGCTGCGAGGGCCGAACGACGCTGCTTGCAGCTTTAATATATATTATATTTATATATATATATATAAATAGAGGGTAAATTGGGTTAAGTAAATTACTTGAAAAGCTTTTTATATTATTACCACTACTTGTGACCAATAGCTGTGATACTCTATATAAATAGAATATCACCTTGCCTGGTCTTTATGATGATTAATTAGAAGATCCTGGGGTTCTTTTAATTATTAAGGGATCGTACACACTTCACTTTGATTCAAGAAACAGTCAGGTTTATAAACAAAGTAAGAATTTATTTACAAACACTTAAGACTTGACAAATTGTTTAAACTATTATTTACTGTGAGTGGATGCGAACTAAAGGATAATCTGGAACCTATGTATGAATATTGTATTCAGAATCTCCATTGTCAGAGCTGAGTTCTGCGTGGAAAGAATTTGGTTTGCAAATAAACTATAAAGATGTTATTATCAGAACCACATTCAGACACTTTCTCGCTGTGTCTACCTCACCCGTTCTGGAAGACCCCTGTTGGATCCAAGATGTCCCGGGGCCGACAACCCCACTGCACCTGGCTCGTAGAAAAACCTCCATGCGCCCAAATCAGTCCTGGGATGTCTCCCGGGTCACGAGGATAGATGAAACCAAGCATCTTAAAAATAACTCTGAAGGAGTTTTGAGTCAGCTTTGTTCTGCAGGAAACTACCGTAAATCCTCTAATACAGGCCTGCATTCCATTAACGGCCGGGTCTCATATTTTGGCCGGTGTCGGAGTCGGCGGAGGTGAATAATGGCCGGTTTCTTATTGTGGCCGGGTGGAATGTGGTAACAAGCAAGTACGGGGGCGGTTGTGTCATTGTCTCACTTTGATTTGCCAGCGATAGACCGCGAGGGTAACTTTAACCGTGCGGAGATGAAGAGGAGGCGAAAATTTGATATCAAGTTTGAAGAGAACGTGTGCTGCTGAACACTGGGGAGCAATAGGGGTTGTATGAACTAGTCGACTTCACTATAGTGACTTTTTATGCCTGTCATCGACTAGTCACTGTCACGTGATAATGACCGGCAAGATGCAGCCCTCGGAAAAGACAGCAGCCTGCTGTCAGCAGGTGACAAGCTCCTGCGCTCGGGAGGGAAACGCGCTGTGCCAGAGCGTCGGTACTGACACGTGATCGTTCATGTCGGTTCATTTCCTTTAATGTTTTCTGTCTTTTATTTGCGCCTGATGTGTTTCGCTGCTGTGGAGCGGGGCGCATCACCTTGTCCTCCGGTGACGCACCGATCACTGATGCGGCCGCCAAGCAGCGAGCACTCCGCTGTTTTTGCGGTCGGTAGATCTGCGTCCTGAGCACGGCCACAGTAACATTATCAAATCAGGTGTCGCCACCTCAAAAACTAATTTAACACGCGATCGTTCATGTCGGTTCATTTCTGTCTTTTATTTGCGCCTGATGTGTTTCGCTGCTGTGGAGCGGGGCGCATCATCTTGTCCTCCGGTGACGCACCGATCACTGATGCGGCCACCAAGCAGCGAGCACTCCGCTGTTTTTGCGGTCAGTAGATCTTTTCGAACTGCAGTTCAAAGGTAACTCATAAGGTGAATATATATGAACCCAGGTAGCAGTTTCTCTTTAGGATTGAGAGGAGATGCAGGAAGATAATAAACAGGCAGGACAGAAAAATAGTCAAATAAAAACAAGTTAGTTTTTGTACCTGGTGGTTGCAACTACCAGACACCATTGAAGGTAATCAGAAGTGAGGAACAGAAAATGGAATAATTATTTTAATGTTTAGAGCAGCAGGAACTCCGAGAGGCTGCAGGCGCATCAGTGAGTTTGCGGCCGCTGCGCAGGGGGAGGGGGGAGATGGCTGAAGCAGAAACTACCGTTGTTAAAAGAAATGCGGGCACAATTTTAATTGTCAAAAACTCCAGCGAACCATTAGTTCATTTTGCTCAAATAGAAATAGAGGCCTGCCTCTAATTCTGGCCCTCCTTCCAATAAAGGCCTGGAGCTTGATGAGCTCGAGTCAAATACAGGCCCGGGCCTGTATTAGAGGATTTACGGTATCTTGTTTCAGCTTCGCAGGTGCGAAAAAGGTTTAAGGTTTTGACGACGTGTCAAAATCCTTCTGGTTTGAGAGGTGCTAAAGATGGCCGGTCTGAAGCTCACTCTAGAACTGACTAATTACTCAAAGCCATCTGGAATTGATATTATGGTTTGGCCAGTCAATCAGGAGCTGACAAGTTTGAGAGATGTTACCAAGCATCGAAGAACACACCCTCTGTGATGGAGACTCCGAATGTGGGCAAAAGGTTAACTTATGTGTCATGCATTTTTAACTTAGCTTTACTTGTGAGTGCAAATGTTATGACCTCGCCAAGTAAACATACTAAAACAATCATTGAGCACAGATTAATGAAACACTTCATTATTTATAATTAGCAATAACAAAAGTTCATTCAATTATTATTTTTAATTATAAAATCTTCTCTTCTTCATCTGGGAATAAAGGAGTTTATTTTAAATAGTTCCTCTGTGATGGACCTTGGAGGAGAAAATATTTATTGTTTATGTTTTATTATCTCTGCAGTCCAGCTGGTGTGAGGAAGTAGGCTCTGATTAAAGGGGCAGGCTACATGCAAACTTCGAGTCTCCTGTGAGGGGAAAAGATTGTAGGATGTCATAGCCAGGGTAAGTTGACCTGGCTGTGCATTTGACCTGTGGGATCTCAAAATCAGACCATTTGTGACGTTACACTATAAGTGAAACTTTTACAGCCTAGGGGCCACAATTTGTGACTCTCCAGCAAGAAAGAAGTGGCACGTGGACAAGATGTAGGGGGAAAGGACTGTCACCAAGGGTACGTACTGATATACGTACACACATGCGGCTTAGAAAATGGCAATTTTCAGTAAAGAGCAACAAGTTTGCAGATTAGTGAGTGGTTTGTGTCATGTGTGGAGTCTCATGTGGGTGTTTAAATGTGTTGTTTGATTAAATCTTTGTCCACACAGGTCACAAGAAAAAGGTTTCTCTCCTGTGTGGACTCTTATGTGTCTGTTTAAATGATGCTTTAGGCTAAACCCTTGACCACAGAAGTCACAAGCAAAAGGCTTCTGTCCTGTGTGTACTCTTGCGTGTCTGTTTAAGCTTGTCTTTTGACTAAATCTTTGTCCACAGAGCTCACAAGCAAAAGGCTTCTCTCCTGTGTGTACACTCATGTGTCTGTTTAAACTTGTCTTTTGGCTAAATATTTGTCCACAATTCTTACAAGCAAAGGGCTTCTGTTCTCTGTGGCCTCTCATGTGGTTGATCAAAGTTGTCTTGCTGCTTAATATTTGTTTACATAGCTTACAGGCTAAAGGCTTGTTTTCCTCATGGACACTCATGTGTCTGTTTAAATGGGGCTTTTGGCGAAATCTCTGTCCACAGATGTCACACGCAAAAGGCTTCTGTCCCGTGTGGACTCTCATGTGTATGTTTAAACATGTCTTATAGTTAAATATTTTTCCACAGAGCTGACAAGGAAAAGACTTCAGTCCATTGTGAACTCTCATGTGTATTTTTAAACTTGCCTTATGGTTGAATCTTTTTCCACATAGCTCACAAGGAAAAGGCTTCTGCTCTGTGTGGGCACTCATGTGACTCTTTAATTGTTGCTGTTGGCCAAATCTTTGTCCACAGAGGTCGCATACAAAAGGTTTCTGTCCTGTGTGAAGCATCATGTGTCTGTTTAAATTTGTCTTTTGGCCAAATCTTTGTCCACAGAGGTCACAAGCAAAAGGCTTCTGTCCTGTGTGGACTCTCATATGTCTGTTTACACATGTCTTTTTCCTAAATCTCTGTCCACAGACCTTACAAGCAAACGGCCTCTGTCCTGTGTGGATAATCTTGTGACTAATTAAAGTTGTCTTACGGTTAAATCTTTGTCCACAAATCTCACAAACAAAAGGCTTCTGTCCTGTATGGATATTCATGTGACTGTTTAAACTAGTCTTCTTGCTAAATCCTTGTCCACAGAGGTCACAAACAAAAGGCTTCTGGCCAGTGTGGACACTCATATGACAATTTAAAATTCTCTTTTGGCTAAATCTTTGTCCACAGAGGTCACAGGCAAAAGGCTTCGGTCTAATGTGGACCATCATATGTCTGTTTAAATTAGATTTTGTACTACATATTTTTCCACAGTTGTCACAATTAAATGGTTTTAGTTCTGTCTGGACTTTCTCGCATGTGTGGATATGTTTCTTCACTCTGACACATTTCTTATTAACAAAACAGCCGGAAGATCTAAGTGCTGAATGACTTGTCACTCTCAAGTGTTTTCGGAGAGACCACTTGTTGAGAAATTGTTCACCACACTCAGGGCAGCTAATGGATTTGTTGATGGTTTTAACCTCTGAGTCAGAATACTTGCTCTCATTCCAGTCATTGTCTCCATCTCTAGTTTCAGGCCCATATTGTGACAACTCAGAATCTAGACTCACATCACCCTCCTCTTTATCATCTTCACTAACTTCAGTCTCCGAAGAATCAGATGTCTGTTTATGAGGGTTCAAATCATAGTTCCTGCTCGTTTCTGCTCCCTCACCAGTTTCTGCTGTCATCTGGTCAGCTGATCTGTTGGTTGAGACAACTCTGTCTTCTGTTTGCTCCTGAAGCAGCTGAGAGAACACGGGTTTCTCTTCATCGCCGTCACTCTTTATAGAAAAAGGAGTGAGTGGAAACCTGGAGGCATCAGTTTCCTCCTTCAAATGAATCTGCTCTCCCTTCAGACTGGTCCAAAGTTCCTCCCGTTCCTCCTTTATGTGGAGGTGTTCTGGGTCCTGCTGGTCCACATCAGCACTCTGTTCTTCAGGAGCTTCTTCTTTAACCAGCATTATTTGTCGAACATCTATAGGAAACAAAAAGGCATATAAAGTGAATTATAGACCGCTGTAACTCTTTATTCTCATATATAACAGTCAGATTCTTGCATTAAAGATCAAGTTCACTTGTTTTTTTCCCAACACAGTGGTCCAACTGCAGTGGTCTCTAGTATAAATAAATTCCTCGTGAAATGATCTCTGTGGAAATAAACCCCTTACACCGATTTCAGGAACTAGGAGTGAGCCAGACTAGAGGAAAGCAGACAAGACAGGATTTACAGTCTTATTTCTTGATTTTCATACATTTTCCCTCTGGAAATTGGGGTTCCACAGCCGATGAACAGACATCAACCCCGAAAAATAATATGGCAACTTTTAAGTCAGATAGTTTTAATGTTATTTCTCTTAATCATGTAAAGGTTTAGACTCTCCTTACAAGTGGTCTAAAATCTTACTTCCTTAACAGGAAGAAGGTCGATAGTACACTGGTCCAGGAAAAACATCGGTGCCTAATACGTGGTTTAGGATGCAAAATCGTCAGCATAACGCCAGGAACACATCAGCTGCGAAGCGCCACAAAGAGGATCGCTCACGGAATTTGCACGCTGCCTGTTGATCCTCTGTTCACATCAGGCGAGAATTTCTGACGTGCACCTCTGCTCATGCCTACTATTTTCCAACCCACCCCCGTGGCCTTGATGTATGTGTGTGTGTGTGTGTGTGTGTGCGCGCTCTCGCACATGTGTGTGTGTAACCAGTTTGCCCTGCTTGTTGAAACTGCGCTGATCCTGCTGCTGTTTTGTAGACCAGTTCTGTTATAAATGGGTAAGTAAATAACCTAGTGTTTGTGGTAGTGCACAATACTATTGTATAGTTACCATTGAATTAAACATAGTTGTTTGTATTCATATTTATTAAAGCC